TTATTATTATTAACTGTGAACTTGCTTTCTAACTAGTGTTATTCTATTGTTGACTTAGTCTACCCATACATACCTTTTATACATCGATGTAGCTTAGTTTAACACATGTTCACAACTCTTTTTTATGTGAAATATGCATGTGATTTCTTAATGTGTCTTGTTTCAATCATCGCCATTATAGTTATTATTTCCTAGTGGAGTGATAGTTACTCTTGAAGTTGTAATTTAAAAAAAGAAAAAGAAACTGCTCCTATAGAGCCTTTTTTTAAAGCCTTTTCAGTGGTGTCAGTTATAAGTCTTCACTTGTTTCAATTTGTGACGTAACCGGTTTAACTGGTTAATTAATATAAATATGTGTTACCTGGATAAAACAGATAGAATATAAGCGTCACCACCTTAATTGCTTGGTCTGTCGTTGTTAGTTTCCGTAGATTTTTGTGGTTTCTTTTTCACTAGCATATAGCAATTTATGCCTGTAAGCTCAAGCAAGATGTATGTTCTGTTTATTTATGCTTTTTTCCTTCTTTCTTCATACATAATTGGCGTCGTCTTTTTGGTTCCAATTATCTCATGCATTCAATTGATGTAATTTAATGTAACCCATGGTTTCCATCAAAGAATTATTATATTCTGATAACCCCAGTTTTACATAATTCCAGAGTATTATTCATTGTTTCATTTATTAGTTTAACGGATTAGTCTTTTAAATAATCAATGAACAGTTGTCGCTTGCATTGTTTTGTTTGCTTTACTACACTACACTACACTACACTACACTACGGTTACGGCTACTTTTACTACAATAACAGTAAATACAACCACTAATAATATATCGTAATACTGGCGCTATTACGGCTACTATTATTATTATTATTATTCTAATGGTTATCACTTTCTTCCTTTCTTTTCCGCCTATTTTCTTACCATTTAAGCTAATAATATGTTTAATCATAAGCACCAGGCAGATGATATGCACCCAACTACATATGTAGTGAATGTTTGTCTGCGTTGGTGTGCGTGTTGTGTATGTGTGTCTCTCTGTTTGGGTGCATTTTCGGCAAAAAACAAATGATATCATTGTTAGTCTTTGTTGCTGTTTTGTAATCGCACTACTACTGCTACTACTATTAGGCAATGTCTAACTAACCGGAATAAGATGGCGTCATTTAAAGATGATGGTGTCATGGCGAATCTCAACAAGAAAAATGCAAAAAAATAAGGAAAGCAAATAACAACACAATGCATCGATGTTGAAATCGATTAGACAAATAAAAAAATCTAAGGCGATGAAAAAGATGATAACAAAAACTGAACTGCATTATTTGAAGATGTATGCCGAGAAATGTATCCATGTATTAACTTTTTAAGAGAAAAAATCCTTCACGTTCCCAGTGGAGCGTACAGGGCTTCAAGCTAGACCTCTTAAGTATAAGTAGCAGGGGTATTTATCTTTTTACGGGATGGGGTTACTACCCTCATGCCAAACCTTCCCTCTTTACTAGTCTTCTTATTATTGGCTTAGCGAGGTAGAGGAGTGCGTCGACCCGGCATTTAGACCAGAACAACCTGTGTGGCTGGCAATCATTCTACCACTGTACCACCAACGCACTGTATTAACTTAAGTTATACAATTTAGTGTGTTCTCCATGTCTTCTAATATAAACCTATATTATTATTATTTCCTTTAATTCTTACAGGAACATAGGGCTTCAGCCGAACGTCTCCACTGAGTTCGGTCCTATGCTAGAGTTTTCACCTGGCTACAAGTCTGCCCACATGCTTTCATCTCCTCTTCACATGAACTCCTCCAAGTCACCTTTGCACTGATGACCAACTCGCTGTTTGCCTTTCGGGTTCCACTCGAGCGATGACCTGGCGTGTGATATCACTTGATGGTTCCCTCAGAGTATGGCTAATCCAATCCACCTCCATTTCTTCCTGCTTATTTGTTGCATAATTGGCTCCTGCTGGGTTGGTTCGCTCATTGCCAGAGATCCCTGTTTCTGATCCTTTCTGGCTGGCCATCTGATCTTGAGTAGTATTGAGCGAAGACAACTGTTGATGAAGGTCCGTAGTTTGTTTGTGGTGCTCTTCATGACGGGCAGTGCAAGTCTCTGATCCGTATAGTAAGTAGCACTGACTTCACATTGGAGTTGAAAATCCGGATGTTATTTTTGATGCTGAGTTCTGTTGTCCTCCACACAGACTTGAGAGTAATGAAAGCTTGTATTGCTTTCTCGATCCTTGCTTTGATATCCTCGTCAGTACCGTCCGCCTGTAGTTGAAGTGATGCGTCTCAGATAGGTGGGTGGTTAGGTAAAAGAGGTTGCTTCTTTCAGGTTCCTCCCATTTATGCTGGCTGATTGTTGTCTGTTGTTGTTGTTGTTGCTGTGGCTGTTGGTGTTGCCAAGGAATCTGTATCATCACCTCTGTTTTCTCTATGTTCAGCTGAAGGAGGTACTATCTTTGATGCTTCTTCTTCCAACTTGTTGCTTTTCACTTGCATATCTTTCAGGTCGTGGGAAATCAGACATATATCATCGGTGAAGTCCAGATCCTCCAAGTGTTTCGTGGGAGTCCGTTTTATATCTGTTTCCTCGCTGCCAGCTGCCTGTCGCATTATCCAAGCTACTGCATAGATTATTATATAGATTGTATAACTAAAATTCGGGTGGTTTGAATTGATTTACCTGTCAGTTGAGTCAAACTGGGGTACCGTACACGCTGATGAGGTTGATTCAAAATAAGCGGAATGGCCGTTCGGTGTTTATATTACTTCTGCCTGATTTGCAAGTACTACTTTCATCAGTCAGTCAGTCTGTAGCATACAGCATCGTTCATTTATACTATCAGACAGATCAAGTATTGTCATGTGAATAATCTCTGTTTGGAAAAATAAAACTGTGGTGAAGTTTTACCTTATTATTATTCCCTTGGATTCCTAGTGGAACATAGGGCTTCAACTGCACGTCTCTACTTGCCACTTCTGTCTTCTGCTGTACTTTTCACCTGAATCCATGTTAGTCCATACTGTTTCAACTCCTCCTCTTCACACGATCTCCTCCATGTCCCCCTTGCATTGACGACCCACTCGCCGCTTCCATTTCGGCCTGGTTCCACCCGAGCAATGGTCTGACGCACGCGCGATGTCACCCGATGGCGGCCTCCTCAGCCGTGAATGTCCAATCCATCTCCACTCCATCTCCTGCACATTTGTTGGTTGGCGATTGCTTCTTGTTTTGTTTGTTTGTTCCCATAGTTTCTTGTTGGTGATTCTTTCTGGAAGTTTCAATTTGAACTGTGTAAATTACTGTTGATCAATTAGTTAGCAAATCGTGTGGATTTAGTTCACTATACAGATTTCCTTTACCTCAACAATCATAGCGTCAAAAACTTAAAAAGATTTATTTGCAAATTTACTGCTTCACTGAACAGTTTATTTTATATTTACACAGAAATGGGTGTAGATGAGGTAACAATGAAATGTGTGATGATTGATGTTTATTAATAGTATACCAGTATCAGTCCAGTTGCTTAAATTTTTATCGGTTTCTTACAGTGTATGTGTGTGTTTAATCATCATGATGAAGAGATTTTATAGCTTTGATTGATTGGCATAATGTACAGTGGTTAGGCTCATAGTCTTAGCACAAATTGAAAACTTGCTGTTCTTGCTGGGAATTCCTCGTTCACAGGCAATAATTGCAACTACCAGTCATACTCACACTAGTGATGAACAGTTCTTCCAACCCATTCGGATCAGGTTACCAAAAGGTCTGGCACCACCATTGTAGTGCATGAGTGATCGTGGATATTCAAGGGTATCATGGTTTTGCTCTTGTTCAATAATTCCGTATGGTGTTGTTGTGCCAGCTGTTTCTCTAAAGAGAGTAAAATGTAAAACCACGCCCAACGAATAACGGCGACACTACTTAATACATGAAGCAGGTGGAGCCACGCTATGAATGACCTCTGAGGAGCTGTTTGCTTTTCGGTAGTTTAGAGTCTCGTTCATTATCATAATTAAGTAGGTAAATCACTCCACTAGTTATTAATTGCTATACACCTTGGGTAACATTCAACTTAGTAGCTCCATGCAATACTGTTACTATTATTATCACTTTATCATGAGACCATATGGGTAGTGTGCACTCATTTTGGTTATAATTCTTGAACGCCATATATATATATATATATATAAATTGCTTCTGTACGTTGATATATTTGCAATAAGGCCGGTAATCAGTCCTTTGGAAGGTATACTTCTTCTAGTCTCTTAGGTTCTATTTGTTTTAAATGTTCATTGAGTTGGCTGTACGGTGGACAAAATGGAAACTTGAAAAAGTAAATAAATAAATAACGAAACTCCCAGGTTTTCCGATGGTTCTCTAACCAATGTCAGCTCATGATGAAATCCTGTAACCGATCAACCAAATCCCTACAAACCAACACTTGAATATCGATGAGTGCTCACTAGCAACTTGCCCTATGCAGTTACTTGGGGTTCTAGTGGGATGTCGTAACCAGTGGGATGCAGCAGGTCGGGCATGAGGACAAATACTCGCCGAAGACATTGGCTAGAGGTTGCACTATGTCGAGAATCGACAGAAGTTAGAATTCATGGGTCATTAGATTGGGTCCCAGTGGCTTAATGGTCTACGAGCTAGCTCGCCCTGTAACCAGAAGGTCTTGGGTTCGAACCGCAGTCGGGTGGGTGCGTACTGATGAAGAGTCCTAAACTAGGACGGAGGAAACAGCTGTTCAGTACTCCCTGGTGGTTTTCCAATGGTTCTCTAACTAATGTCGGCTCATGATGAAATCCTGTAACCAATCAACCAAATCTCTACAAACTAACACTTGAAGTAGCGAATCGTTCACTGTACTTAGGAATTTTCTTTTGACCTTATCATTCATTAACTGACTGATTTGCTTATTTAACTTTTTTCATATTGATGTAGATATTTTATTTTTGTAATATTTCATTCTCTCTTTTTTCACAGGTCGTTTGGTTAGAACAACAAGTGGCAAAAATTCGCGTGAAACGAGATGTACACATTCCAGTCAGTGATCCGAAATGGCCTCAAATGTGGTATTTGGTAGGTTGTGTCTCAATTTAATTGTATTTAATTGCTTTTTTGTGAGCACCTACATTTGATAGTTATGCTTCATGCCCTTCTCTCTTCTGTCTGTCATTTATTTGTGTATTTTGATATGTTATTCTACCATGACAAAATGTTTACCTTTGTAGAAATTTGTATTTACAGTTAATTTGTTGGTTGAATAGTTTTCGAATTTTTGTGTGTGTGTGTGCGTGTGTTTGGTTAACTTTCTTATCTAGGCATTTCAACTCTTCACTAGTCAACTGCATATATTTTATATTGTAGCTTTACATTACATTGAGGTGGTTTAATAAAAGCGGAATTTACATAAGCTTTCATAACACTCTGAGAGTAAAACGACTCCAATAAATTTAATTGGTGTATGGTGACTAGCAATGGAATCCAGGATGCGTATTTCGTCCTGTTTTGGACTCGTTATCCGGATGTACCTGCATTCCCTAGTGAGTGATGATGTTCCCACCGAGGCTCGAACCCAGTGCCCATAGTTTCAAAGGCCAAAAGGTTATCCAATAGACCACTTGGGTCACGATAGCCACCTCTTATTAATTAATTATTCAATTGAATTTCAGATTTTCCCATCGATTGATTGGACCGAAGTGCTCGGTTTTAGGTTGAAATCCAGCTGACGAGTCCCAAACAAGACGAAATGCGCATCCTAAATTCCACTGCTAGTCACCATCCACCAATTAAATTCTGAATACATGCCCAGACATTGCCGAAGCATCTGGACAAGAAGCCGACATGTCAACCTGAGGCGGAGCACTTGGGTCCAATCATCAATCGACGGGAAAATCTAAAATTCAATTAAATAGACTCCAATAAATGCATGGATTCGTGACACTCTTAGTTAGACATCATATATAATGAATAACAAGTTTATAAAGACACAATAATAAACTCTTTGTAGTTTTGAACATTTGCGTCGGTGGCACAGCGGTTAAGACGCTCGCCGACCATGCACACGGTCCGGGTTTCGATCCCCGGCCGGCGCACTCCTTTACCTCGCTAAGCCAGTAGTGAGACTGGTAAAGAGGAAAGATTGGGCATGAGGCTAGGAACCCCATCCTGTAAAAATAAACACTGCTACGGAATCTTCAAGCCTCTAGCTTGGAGCCCTATGTTCCACAGGGAACGTGAAGGAAAAAAAAGTTTTGGACATCACTTGTATTTGTTTATTATCAAGCTGATTTGTCTTGTATCATAAATAGGAATAATGAAAATAGGCAAAATGATTATTTCATATACAGACTTGAGACTGTTTCTTTCAATGGACCATACTCTCTAATCTCGCCATGAAGACATCCTAATGGAGGCACCCCCAATGGTGACTCCACCATCTCTTTGATTGATTATAAGTGACATTGTTCATTCTAAACTGCAAATTTAACGTGTATCTCAGTAACAAATAGCTGCTTCAGACAGTTAGTTGGTACTCCAATGTTTATACATCTTAGGTTGATGTAACCACATAGATAACAGATAGTTTCCACCCGATCCTTTATCGGGTATAGTTATTTTAGATCGTGATGAATAATTTTTAAAATCAGCCGACCAGAAAGACTGAACGGAGGGGCCTGAGAATGAATTGTCAAAACTTGTGAAGAAGTTAAGGGACGAATCCATTATTATTATTACGTATGTGTATGAACATCTCAAGCCGTCTGACTCAACCATCTCTCCTTTGTGTGGTCTTCGTAAGATGCATAAAGACGATGTCCCTCTGTGACCTATATTTGATATGCTGAACTCCTGTCATCATTCTACAGATAAATGGCTCGCTGAAATCCTCTTACCAGTAATATCAAATCTATGTTAATATAGTCTTTCGGAGACTTTTGACTTCGCCGTCTGTGTTGATGGAATTCATGTGACCGGTAAGCCTATGATCTCATAAGATGTTTGCTATTTATTTACAAATGCACCGTTAGTAGAAACTATTTGATATCTATGTGGGTTACATCCACCTAAAAGGTATAAACATTGGGGTACCAACTAACTATCTGAAGCAGCTATTACTGATTATTGTTATATCCTTTAATTCCCAGCGGTACACAGGGCTTCAGCTTCACGTCTCTATTGCGTTCGGTTCTCTGCCAACATTTTCACCTGGCTACAAGTCTGTTCATATGCTTTCATCTTCTCTTCACATCACCTCCTCCAAGTCACCGTTGGATGTCCGACTCGCCGATTCCCGTTCGCGTTCCACTCGAGCTATGGCCTGTCTTGTGATGTCACTTGATGTTTTCCTCAGTGTATGGCCAATCCAATCCACCTCCATTTCTTCCTGCTTATTTGTTGCACAATTGGTTTCTGTTGGGTTGGTTTACTCCCAGAGATTCCTGTTTCTGATCTTTTCTGGCTGGCCATCTGATCTTGAATAGTATTGAGCGAAGACAACTGTTGATGAACGTCTGTAGTTTGTTTGAAATGCCCTGTGTGATTCGCCTAGTCTCTGATCCGTATAGTAAGTAGCACTGACTTCACATTGGAGTTGAAAATTCGGATGCTATTTTTGATGGTGAGTGCTGTTGACCTCCACACAGACTTGAGAGTAATGAAAGCTTGTCTTGCTTTTCCGATTCTGCCTTTGATATCCCCATCAGTTCTGTCCGCCTGTAGTTGAAACGATGCTTCCCAGTTGGGTAGGTAAAGGTTGTTTCTTTCAGGTTCCTCCCATTGATGCTGGCTGATTGTTGTCTGTTGTTGTTGTTGCAGTGGCTGTTGGTGTTGGCCAGGAATCTGTATCATCACCTCTGTTTTCTCTATGTTCACCTGAAGGAAGTCCTATCTTTTCTGGATGCTTCTTCTGCCAACTTGTTGCTTTCACTTGTATATGTTCCAGTTAGTGGGTAGTCAGACATATATCATCGGTGAAGTCCAGATCCTCCAAGTTTTTCGTGTGTAGTTTAGATTTGTTGATGTCATTTGTAATCTAGAAGAGATGATGGAGTCAGCATTGTGGGTGCCTCCATTCACTTGTCTTGTTGTCGCGTATTTATATCTCTCTTTCTCCATCAGCAAAATGACAAGCATAAGAGTATAGATCCAGGGTTTTTCCTACTCTCATTTCCAACTGTTCAAAAATACTCATTGTCTACCTTTCTATGAGAATAGGATGTTATTTCATTTTTCTCAATAGAAGCTGATTTGAATATTCGAGTATTTCAATGCTTTATTGATCACTGAAATGCTTTGGTTTAGAAAATCTCTTGTTTATGCTCGTGAATTATTATTATTATTATGTCGTGATCATCGAAAACGACTTCCTAGTTGAAAATTGTTGTTGTTTGAATTGTTCTGCTGTTTTTTTTTAAAAAAAATCTCTCATGAGTATTGCTTATTATTAAAAGATTATTTGTCGTCATAAATATTTATTTTTAAAATGTCAAAAAAAAAACATATCTCCTTTGAGGATTGAATGATGACTGTGTCTAATTTCTATCCGTATTCTGTCTTTTCTCGAACGGAGATACATAAACAAGTGTTATATGTCTTTCATTCTCTCTCTCTCCCTCTCCCTCTCTCTATGATTTTTAAATGTATGCGTGACTGTTGATGTCAACAATGTGAAGGATAGACTGCTTCCTAATCCCAATTTGTTTCTTCCAACCTAGTTATCATTTAAATGAAAGAGTATGCTAACCAGGAATATCCAAGATCTGATACAATAGAATATAATAGATGCAGTAGAGAAACTGAACTTTTTCAGGTGTTAACAGAAGGAGAAGAAATAATTGGTTGTCTGTCAGTGTGACTGTCAGTCAAAATCAACAAAATCTACAAACGTGGTGAACTAGATTAGCCAACATAATATATGGGGTTTTATCGTGATGTCTTGGGGGATCACTTCCTCGAGCCTTTGATTTGAAGTCTAATGCACAGGGCAGCAGGGCTTCTTTTAGGAGCTGCTTTCTCTTTGATTACTGGTGACCGAGACAAGTCTCTAGGCTATTCGTTCTTTTTTGGATGCTGTAGCTGATATGAACCACAGGTTGGGAATCAGGGTTTTCAACTATCATTGATGAACTTGAAAGTAACAACCTCCTTTATCTACCCACCTACCTGGGAAAGCATCGTTTCAACTACAGGCGGACAGAACTGATGAGGATATCAAAGCCAGAATCGGGAAAGCAAGACAAGCTTTCATTTCTTCTTAATTCTCTGTGGAGGTCTACAGCACTCAGCATCAAAAATAACATCCGGATTTTCAACTCCAAAGTGAAGTCAATGCTACTATACGGATCAGAGATTAGGCGAATCACACAGGGCATTTCAAACAAACTACAGACGTTCATCAACAGTTGTCTTCGCTCAATACTACTCAAGATCAGATGGCCAGCCAGAAAGGATCAGAAACAGGGATCTCTGGCAATGAGCGAACCAACCCAGCAGGAGCCAATTATGCAACAAATAAGCAGGAAGAAATGGAGGTGGATTGGATTAGCCATACTCTGAGGGAACCATCATGTGATATCACACCTCAGGCCATTACTCGAGTGGAACCCAATCGGGAATCGGCGAGTTGGTCGTCAGTTCGAGGATGACATGGAGGAGTTCATGTGAAGAGGAGATGAAAGCATGTGGACAGACTTGTAGCCAGGTGAAAATGTTGGCAGAGAACTGAACGCAATTAAGACGTATGGTGAAGCCCTATGTTCCTCTAGGAATAAAAGGAAGTAATAATAATAATAAGTGATGATCTCTATGTCGAACAATGTGATAATAAACACCGAACAACTACATTTGCGCTTCCGCTTTTGTGAGAATGCCGCTGGCTACGTGAAGGTAGTGAATAAAACTTACCTGGTAGACGTTACAAATGCATGGTCACATGAGAGCATTTTGAAGAGAAGACCAGAGTTGACCCACCTTCACCTGTACCAAATCGTATATATGTTCAAACAATATTCCTCTAACTTTGGCCTAAACAATGACTCTTTATTTTTGTGGTATATACTACTGAAAAGAACTTGTAA